CCCCCCCCCCCCCCCCCCCGTCAATCAACCTAATCTAGATAATCCCTCCCAGAAACAGCCAGAGGGTTGTCTCCTGGGAGATTCTAGACCAGTCAAACTGACACTATTAACCGGCACACAAAGTAACTGTCTGCCAACTCTGGCTGGTCATGTTGCATTCTCCTGGGAAATGCTGACTTCTGGTCCTTCCATTCTGTCACACATGAGGAGCGAGGCCAAGAACGCCAGTGCTTGTCTGCAGAAGCCCTCCATGAGGACGAAGTTAGGGTGGGGCCTGAGAGAGCCCTGTACAGTGCCCGAGAGATGGATCTTCCCAGGGGAAGGGGTTTGTTAAGTATGTCTGTGGCAGTGTTTTCTAGACAGCAAAGCCCAACAACGAGCAGGTGAACAAGAAAGCCATACATACAAGCAAGAGAAGAGAGGCTTGGGCATCACCATGGCAACAACAGTGACCTTGCCTTTTAACAGTACAGAGAAGGCTTGCAGACTGTGCTGGATGGAAATGCAGAGCACAGCGTGGGACACACACACTCGTGTCCGTGAAGCACCTATCCTCAAGATCACATGTACATGGATTCCCCTTCCCTGGGAGGCAAACATCTTAGGGGGATGAAAGACTCCCAGAGATTCTACGATCCATAAACAGGTTTCTGAGGAAGATCTGCCAGTGGTTTCTGGGTCTCCTCCCACACAGACTGCTTGCAATAAATCCTTACTTGTGTTGCCTTTAGGGGAATGAAACCCTGGGGCCATGGAGCGCACATATTGTAATGGTTCTTTGTGTGTTTGTGTATGCTCATGCACATGTATGTGGAGGCCAGAGGACAACTTTGCGTGTTGCCCACCTCTTATTGTTTCCCTTTTTAGACCAGGTTGGAGTTCTCTCACTGACCTGGAGCTCATGAAAATAGACTAGTCTGGCTGGCCAATGAGTCCCCAGTGTCTCTCTGCTTCTCCCTCTCCAGGGTTGGGACTATGATGATGTAGCACAGGTGTGCCTTTTTACATAGATGCCAGGGACCAAGCTCAGTCCTCATGTTTGTTGGCAAAGCATTTCGTCAATTAAGCCATCTCCCCAATGCCTCGTTGGAGTCCTCTTTGGGGACCCAATGTTCCATTGAAAGCAAACATGCTATCTTTCTTCTTTCACGTTACTGAGTCCACCGACAGGCTCAGATGGCTGATGGGGTCCCTAGGAATAAGCTCACATGAGGCCAGTTGTGTCCTGGTTCACTAGAAATGTGGACCTCAAGGACACAGAGGCCACGGGACATTGAAAGCTGATAAATGCACCAAGATGAATCCCAAGGCTGGTAGCCTCCACTTTATCAGAATTCTAAGAATTTGAAAAATGGAATTTAGCCTGCAGATTTTCATGTGCTGTCTGACTCCCCACGCTCATCTCATTAGGAGCATAAACTAAGCCTTTACCCAGGAGATACGCTATCATCGCGTGCAGCCTTTCACGTAGTTTACTGATGGAAGTCACCAGAAGTTTGGCCTCTGCAGATAACAGCCCAGTTCTTCCCAGTCTGAATTCCAGCCTCTGAGTCACCCAGTGACACCACATCCTGCCCTGCTCCCGTCTCTGTCCCTCCTCCCGTGTCTGGCAGCGCCGCTCCTAGGATTCTGCGAGGTTTGAAGAGATGGGGGTGGGAGGCAAGGGTCTGCCCCAGAAACTGACAGATGGGGTCAAGTGGACATCTGCTCAATCCTCCGGTGAGCCAGTCACAGGATACATGAAGTGAAGAGCCGCTGTCCCTCCCTGTAAGCGCTGCAGAGACTTAAGGAGAGCAGTATGAGGTGTGTCAACAGTGGCCTGGACTGTGAGCGCCCAAGGATCGTTATGAATGTAGCCCAGCACAGACCGTAAGCTTTGGGGCCAGGGAGATGACCTGAGTTTGATCCCTGAAACCCATGTAAAGCTGAAAGCACACACACACACACACACACACACACACACACACACACACACAGAGAGAGAGAGAGAGAGAGAGAGAGAGAGAGAGAGAGAGAGAGAGAGAGAGAGAGAGAGATGGAGGGGTGTAACAAATTCCTGTTTTAAAGAAAGATGGGGTGGCAGAGAGCTTGGCAGTCAGGAACACGTACCGCTCTTACAGAAGACCCGTCTATACCTCCCATCTTGCTGTAGGACTGCTGGATTAAATCTGCACACTCCCAAACCTGGATTATTACAGGAGTTCTGGGGATCAAACCCAGGCTTGTGCACTTCTGCTTTTACCCACTGAGGCAGCTCCCCAGCCTCGGGAATGTCGTTTCGAGTTAAGCCTTAAAGGGTAAGAGGGTGGGCAGGAGGGGACTGAAACATTGTCAGAGGCCAGACTAAGCAAAGCCTTGTGTAACAAAGATAAGATATTTAAATTTTAGCCTCGGACCTTGGACACTTACCAGATGGCTCAGGCGATGGGTGAGGATGAATAAAAGGTTATAGGATGACGTGGAATAAATTTTGCAGGGATGTTTTATTCTCAAGGAGGTATAAGTGATAGCATGATGCGTCAGAAGGGGACCTGTATGTGCCATCAGATTCTGGCCACACCAGGGGAAGTTATCATCCGGTCACAGATGCTGTTCCGCACAATGGGATTGTATATGGGTACCACTCTGTATGGGTGCCGTCCATTACTAACTTTCACGCCAGTCTTATCACAAACCTCCCACATGCTGATGGCTTTTCTGGGAACACTGGGCACTCAGGTAATGACAGAAACAAATGAACAGTAAAGAAGCTGTCGAGCAGGTATCATAGCAACTTTGTGTCTTTCTCTGGAAGCAACTGGAATATGAATAGGTTTTCAAACCGGCATTGAGCAGAGTCGTGTGAAGCCAAAACACAGACACATTCATCCCGAGTCGTTTGTCTCATAAACAAAGGAGTTATTATTTGGTGCAGAGAGGGACCGGAAGACGGACGGTGGGGGCTTGTGAGGATGGCAGAATATGAAGCCACGAGGAACAGAGCTCCGTCCCGCAACTCCTGCAGTGGTCCCAGGATGAGCACGGCCGGTGTGCTGCTCCTGGGGCTCGCACTGAGCGCTGGGGCCGCTGGGGCCAAGTTAGGAGGAAGCCATCTCTGCTTAAAGAGCCAGGTGTTCTTCAGAGATGCTTGCTATGAATTCGTGCCGCTGGGGCACACCTTCCATGGGGCCCAGGGCTGGTGTGAAGGGCACGGAGGCCATCTGGTCTTCGTTCACGATGAAGACACCCAGCAGTTCCTGCAGAGACACATCACTCAGGACAGGAACTGGTGGATCGGACTCACGGGAACTTCGGCACCCAATGAGACCATGTCTGGTAGGTGCTGTGTAGCGGTGTCTGATGGGAAGCTTGTGCCAAAAAAAAATACTTACCGCTGCTTCTCACCCAGAACCCCACAGGGCAAAGGAACACGTCTGAATTTTCGTGCTCAGGAGACCTTCCTCTTTGGCTGTTTGGTAGATCCTGTAAAATAATTCAGGGACAGTAACTAGCACAGAGATGGTCTGAAAACGTGCTTGTACTCCTCTCGTTCTGGGCTCTAGGCTCTCTAGGGCACGGCAGAAGCCCTGGGGAACCTAAGGCAGATACAGATGTGTTTCTCTGAGGGGAAACCTTTCCTGGAAGGTTGTGAGTCTTACACTTAAACAGTTCCAGCCATCTTCTCAAGGCTCTAGAAACTTCTGTATGAACTCAACCCATGCCCAGACACATCTGCAGACACCCTGCCCAGGAGTCATCTACCCGTGAACATCACGGCACACGCTGGGCTATGCATTTTGCCACACCTAGGTAGCATCACCTTTTATGGTTTTTTTTTTTTTTTGTGATGGGTGTCTAGTTATGTCTGAGTGTTCAAAACTAATGAAGAGAACACACCCATTCTCTGGTGTGTGAAAGAGAGGCATTCATTGGGCACCTATGGTATACTAGGAGCCTAGTTAGGGCAAGCCCTCCACAGAGACTGAGCACCTATGGCATACTAGGGGTTGATTTAGGGAGGCTAAGCGGGGACTCCTGCAGGCCAAGCCCTCCTGCACTTGTTCCCAATGCAGGCCCTGGTACCTGGCTGGATTCTACTAATGTGAACTACAGCAACTGGCAGGGAGTACAGGCCACACTTACCTCAGGGACCTGTGGCTACATCAGGAGTGGCCCTTCGTCTCAGTGGGCTGCCTTGAAGGACTGCACCCAGGCCTTTGCCTTCATCTGCGAGTTTGGTGAGCTGGTCCTGTGGGGGTCCCCTTCCTGTCTCCCTCTCCCCGCTTCCTGCCTGCCTGCCTTCTTCTGCCTTTAGTCCCTGCTGCTCTAACCTTCTCTCTTTATTGACCCCCCCCCCATCTCTCTGAGTTTCTTGTGGTCTTTCGATCTCCTAACTCATCCTCTCCCTTGGGTCTCTTTTCTTTCCTCTCTCTTCACTGTCTGCCTCTCTGGGTCTCTCCTCTCCCTGTTCAGACGACTTGCTGGCTAGGCTTCGTCTGTCACCACCTTGACTGTTTGAGACTTCCTCCCTTTCCACCTCTGGGTCTCCCCCACCCCTATCTCTGCCTGTACCACTCTCTGTATCTCCTCAGGTCTCTCCTCCTCTCCAGCTGGCCCCACTACCACTGTGTCTTTGCAGTTCAGCATCCCAGCCCAGCACGTGCTCCGAACCTGTCACCGTCCCTTTGTTGCAGGGGTCGGCCGCAGCCTGGCTTGTGAGGGCCACAATGCTACCATGCACTGTGGCTCCGGCGAGGTCATCCAGGTCCAGGATGCTTTCTACGGGCGCCAGACCCCCTATTTCTGCACCCAGGGCGTATGGCCTCCATCAGACCTGGAGGGGGAATGTGGCTGGGTCAGCATCAAGGATGAGGTGGCAGGTAGGATCCCAGTGTGCCACAGCTCTGCCTGAAGCAGAGAACAGTTGCTGGTCTTCTATACATGTCAAACGGTCCCCGGAAGGGTCTGATGTTCTTCAGATATGGCCCAGGCCTCCTTCACGAGGGGAAGCCAGTTAGTCTCTGCCCATGGCACCAAGTTCTTGAACAGGACTTTGAGGCAGGTCTACCACAGTCATCAAACCAGCTCCTGGGGCAGGAAGGCTTCTGATCCCCTACCTGTCCTGGGTACAGAGAACATCAACCTAGTTAACCCAATTTTTAAAGTTACAAAATCTTTTAACCCTACGGGCAAGAGTAACAAGAACTGATTGTGAGGCTTATGTCTGTAAACCTTGTAGCTGGGATATGGTGACAAGAGGATTGGGAATCCTTCAGCTACCTAGCAAGTTTGGGGCCAACGGGGCTACATGAGACCCTGTCTCAAGCAAGCAAATCAGCAAAGAATAAAGACTATTGGGATAAGTTCCAAGGGAGCCACTTCCCACCTTTGTCAGATCTTAAGACCATGTAACATTGTAGCATTAGCTTAAGGTTTACTCATGAAGAATTCAGCATAGCATCGTAGGGCTCCGGCATGGCCTCCCGGGCCAACTCCTGCTGGATTTTTGGTGTTTACCAATCATACACCTGGTCCTCAGTCCTGCCTTCCTTCTGAGCATCCCTAAGCCTGTGTGATCTTGGTTGTGTAAACGGCACGGTCTTCCATGCCATTCCACAGCACATTTTTTAACTGTTAGCTTTTTGCAGTGTTATGCCTAGGATTGTTTTGTTTTTGAGACGTGTGGCTCTCTCAGTTCTTGTTCTAGTTTATTTAGTTTGTTTCTTATATAACACTCCTCCTCCTGGCCCAGTCCCCACCCTTGCCCCTAGTGTAAAGGTCAGTGGATGATCTTAGGTGTTGTTTCTCTGGGTTCACCTCCCTGTGTCTCTTGAGACACAGTATCTCACTGGTCTGGAACTCACTACATGAGGTTAGACAGTGAGTCCCAGGAACCTGCCTGTCTCCACCCTCCCTAGTGGTAGGATTATACATTTGTATCACTACACCCTGCTTTTTTTATGTGGGTTCTGGGGGTTGAACCAGGGTTCTTGTGTTGGTACAGCGGGCACATCTGTGCCTGGTTCATCTCCCCAGTCCTTAGAGCAGACACTTCTGATGCCGTCTCCCACATATGTGGCAGTGTCTCTAGGGCTCCCTCCCTAAATCAGATTCAATCTCCTCAGATCCCTACTTGATCCATCAAAGGATTCAGCTGCAGGGCTTCCTGGAGCTTCCCGAGGTTTCCTTGTGAGGTCTCCAGATCCTCCCAGGACATCGGGGAATCTGCTGAGGTGACCACTGTCCAGACACCAGGGAATGGGAAGGCAGGTGCCTTACCTCCTCGGCTAATGAGGACACAGCAGCGCATTGCCCATCCCAGGAGCCCTGTTAGCCTGTCTCCTCTGAGGCTCTGTCTCAACCAAAGACCTGTGATGATTGTGGGGTGCAGAGTACCCTCTGGGCCTCCTCCCTCTGGGGAGATCAAGTCTCTTCTCTCTTGGAATTCCCCCTGCTCCACTCCTCTTTCTCCCAACAGGTCTTCTACCTTATTGTCCTTGCCCCACCCCCAGAGCTGTCACACGGTAGAAAATACCGAATCAGCTTGTAGCTCTCAACCCCCCACTTCTGAGTTCTGGCACTCCTGAGCAGTGTCCTCCAAAATGGAAGGACCTCAGCTGGACAGGCTGAAGGAGGCTTCCTCCCAACAGCACGCTGCAGCTGGGCAGGCTGCTTTCCCAAAGGTTCAGCTGTAAGTTTTGAAAACATGGTCCCCACACCCCAGAGAGGGCATCGGGATGGAGACCTGGACCTCACTGGGAAGCGTGAAAGAACCTGGCAGGGCCCCAATACCTGACTGCATTTGAGTGCCCGATCACTCAATCAGCCAGTGGCCAATAAACATTTATTGAGGACCTATAGTGCCATGCACTACCTTGGGCTCTGTAGAGATAGGGTGGATCAAAGAGCTCAGAGTCCAGCGGGGAGACAGATAAATGCTGCCATGGAGGGGAGCGAAATGCACTGTGCATTGACTCATGTAAAACATGTTAGATATCTGCTACATGCCAGCTGTGTGTGGAAGACCCAAGAGTGCGCGGAACATTTAAAGTACTCCCTAGGCCTTTGGAGACTACCATCTAGGGTTACGGGTGCACACGGGAATATGTAATCAGATGGAGGGACATCACCAACTAGGCATCCCTGGGAGTTATGCTGAGAGCTGGGGGCATGCTCAGTGCAGACCCTCTGCCTAGCATGTGGGAGACCTTAGATTTAATGATCAGAAACAGCCGCCACAGCTCCCCCACCCCGGCAAGTCACAATTCAAAGAAGCAATACTTACGTTTTGAGTTGGGTGCAGTGGCCTATGCCGACAGTCCCAGCAACTCAGGCAGTGGTGACGAGAGGGTTGTTTGAGGTCAAAGATTAAGGTCAACCTAAACGGCAAAGTGAAACTCCACTCACCCCCTCTTCAAAAATACAAATCAGTCAGATGTGGTGGTGCACTCCGTTCACCCCAGCACTTAGAGAGCAGAGGCAGGCAGGCCTCTGAGTTCAAGGGCAGCCTGATCGACAGAGAGTTCTGGCCCAGCGAGTGCTACCTGGCAAGACCCTGTCTTAAAAACAGAAAATCATAGAAAGGAAGGAAGAGAGGGAGTGGAGGGGAAAGGAGCAGAGAGGAAGAAAAGGGATGAGAAAGAAGGAAAGGGAGGGGAGGAAATCAATCATCAATCAATCAATCAATCAATCAACTATGTTAGGTTATTCAAAAAAACGGATTTTAATCCAGTTTTCCAAAGTCCTGAAAGTTCTGAGAAACCAGACTGCTTCTTGCATGTCCCTAATCCCCAGAACTGTGGGCGTGACATGCTGGGACTCAGAAAGTGACACACGAGACACAGGGACTCAGCAGATGTGCTTAAGGTCACACACACGAGCCCCTCTATCTCTGGACGGAAACAGAAAAGAGCTGGGAAGGAGAAGCCAGCCAGGTTCCAGATGTGAGCAGGGCAGCTGCGAAGCAGCTTGAAGAGGCCTCACTCAGATGAAAGAGACACTGCCAGCATCTGAGGACTGGATTCTGCCTCCAAAATGGTATTGGCTACAGTGTTTCCCAGATCCCCAAGAACAGCAAGCAGCCCAGCCCAGCCTAGCCCAGCCCACCCAGATTTCTGACCTTTAGAACTGAGAGACAAGAGCCTGTGCTGTTCTGAGCCACTGTTTGAGTAGCCGGAGATGAACATGTGTCCTCCACATGTGCTTGGACTAGGGAGTCTGGGAAACGAGATTGCTGTAATGCATGACAGAGTCAGGCGAGGAGGCATGTGGGCGAGGACAAGGGCCCATTGACTACCCAGGGGAGCTGAGGGGTGAGAGGATACTAGGAAAAGCACAGGTGCACGCCTGGGGACCTGGGACAGAAGTGTGCGAAGTCCTACAGGAAGAAAGAATTCAGTGGTACAAGGAAATCCAGAATGCTGGGTGTGTTTCTGGCACACAGGGAGGCAGGAGATCCAGCCAAGGAGTCCAGAATCCCACCCCCCAAGAATGTATGAAGGCTACTGGACTGGCTGGGAGACCTGGAACTTGGTTGTAAAGCCACCCCAAGCTGCTGTGAGGGCTTGTGTGCTAGAAGACAAACAGGGAGGCTGCTGTCTGAGACCTTGGTGGGGCATACAGGCAGCACAGTGGGAGCTTTGAGAACTGAAGAGATGCTAGACACAGAAGCTGGCCTGGTGGCATTGCTCACTGGTTCAGGATACTGTGATGTTGCTGCCTTGGACCACTCTGGGCCCCGAGGTACATAAGGAAGGGCCCCACATGGGGAAAGAGGGCGAGCAGTGTCGCGGGCATGTCAACACTGAGCCCTCAGACTTGGGGATCAAATAACTGGCATTTATTCTCTAACAAATATGTAGGACAGAACCCAAGATCAAGGTATCAGCAGGGCCCCTGAAAGCCGTGAGAGAAGCCTTCCCAGCATCCTCTAACTGTATTCTGGTGCTCCTTGGTGTCCTTGGCTTACGGGAGCATCACTCTCTGTCTCTACAAACTGTAGAACAGAGAACCGTGGCCTTTAGGTTGTTTGGAACCCCATGATTCATATAGTGAAGATAGGAGGAATCCCCACCCAGCATGGTGTCTGGAGACTGAGGCTGGGTCATGTGTCTTGCTGGCTAAACAACTGCACACACATTTAAATACCTCACACCTTAGAGAAAACACAGGTGACTTTCTGGTTCTCTTAGTTCTTAGCCCAGGGCTTGCAATGGCCGTGTAGTGGCAGTGTGGTGAGTAACTGAGCGGGTGAAGTAACTCACCTGTGATGCTCTGCTGAGTTTATGTCCTCTTGTCTCCTATCTCCATGCAATTCTCTTGTCTCCCACACCGTTCCTATCTTCGTGCACTGTGGATGCCTCCCAGGCCAGTGTCAGGGGCTGCAGGCATGCCAGGTAGCAGCAGATGGGACCTACTTTGGAGACGTGTGCCCCACCCAGGGCAGCTACCTGTGGGTGCAGTACCAGTGTCTGGAAGGTGAGTCTCCAACTGGGTGGGGCATGGGAATTTTCTTCTTACGTCTGCTGTGTGCCAGTCTGGAACTTTCCTCCTCATGGGTAGGATCTGCCATGTGCAGACAACTTTCCCCACAACAGCTTCCCCGCGACCAGACATTCCTGCCTCCTGGCCTGCTCCCTTGGGGTCATTTGCACACACGCATGCACACACAACGCACACACACACACACACTTCCTTTTAAAACCACTTCTTGAAGCATGATTTGTGTGTATATGAATGCTTTACCTGCAGTATGTATGGCAGCCACATGCATGTAGTGCCTGCACAGGTCAGAAGAGGGTGATGGATCACCTCGAATTGTAGTTACGGATGCTGCTAGCCCACCATGTAGGTGCTGGGAAATGAATCCGGACCCTTTACAAGAACAATAAGTGCTCTTACCCGCTGAGCCTTTAAGCTCTCTCCAGCCTTAAAATTAAAATATTAAAAGTAATGAAATAACCCACATTATCATAATTTGCAAAAAAAAATACGATAAAGAAGGGAAACATCCTACCCTTCTACTTGAAAGCCCTATTTCTCCTAAGGAAACACTATTAATTATTGTGAGAATGTTTTTCTCTACTTTTTAGAAATGCTTGTAGACATGACTATGAGTCATTAATATGCATTTTTAACTAAAATGTAACGTTTAAGACATTAATTTACAACTTTACTTTTTTCATTTTATTTTATTTCCTGGAACTCACTCTGTAGACCAGGCTGACCTCAAACTCACAGAGATTGGCCTGCTTCTGCCTTCCCAGTGCTGGGATCAAAGGTGTGCATGGCCACCACCGCCTGGCTTTTTTTTTTCATCTTATATGTCCCAGACTTGTTTCTAAGTCACTTCCTTATGCTTTGAATGGCTGCGTTGGATTCCAGCATTTGCCTGTGTTGGAGTTCCCTTATGTGTGGACATGTAGCCTGCTCCCGGTTTTTCTCGGTTTCTTTTCACACTGCAAAGTCCACCCTTGTGCACACCTCTTTTAAGAAACACTTTTAATCCCAGCACTTGAAAGGCAGAGGCAGGTGGACTTCTGTAAGTTCGAGGCCAGCTTGATCTACAGGTTAGGACAGGCTCAATGGCTACAGCAAAACCATGTCTTGAAAAATCAAAACAAATAAACAAACAACAACCCCCCCACTTTGTTAGCTTCCTTCTGACCACACTCACCCCCATTCTCTTCCCCCCCTTTTTCCCACCCTCTTTTGCCTCCCAAAAAACCCCCCTCCACATTCATGCCTTTACATTTTGGGGGAAGGAGCGGCTTGGTTTTGTGACCCACTGAGTTTAACCAGGGCCTTCGGTGTGAGAGGGTCTGTGGTGCTGTCCACTGAAGCACGGGCACCTCAACAGTGGCTATACCACCTAGGCGACAGTGTCTCCCCTCCCCCTGTCCGTGGCTCCCTAGTAAAGGGTGGGGCCCCTTGAGCCTCCCCCCACCCTATGATTGGATGCTGCTCAGACCCAGTGTCGTGCGGGCCACTGCTGCCGTGCTTGTCTATCTTGACGTGGACTTAAGATTATCTTCAGAGAAGACAATGATCTTGCTAGTCGTTGGAACGCTAAGTGCATTTTAAGAGGGCTGGTAGACAGTACTAAATCACCCTCCCGAAGAGCTGCCTTAGTTCACTTTCTACACAGAGGGATGAGTACACCAGTTTCCCTTAAGGGTGAGACACTGCATTGTGCCATCCTGTGACAAATGACTCAGAAAAGCAACTTCTGCCCAATGCGTGAGCCACAGGGACCTGCAGGGGGGGGGGGGGGAAGATGAGTCAGAGCTGGCAGGGTTCCAGCGGCATCCAGCACAGCAGAGTTGAGGCTGGAGGAGGACAGGTACAGGAGGAGAGGGAGGCAGCCAGCAGGCAGGCTTTACCCATGGCTTCCGTTGGCTGGTCTGGGTGAAACAAGGAGGCGAGTTTCCCCCTCTCAGTGGTAGAGAAGAGAGAGCAAATGCTATGGCATCTCCTTCTGTTTGGTGGCTCTGCTAGTGGACAAAGAGTGTCTTTTGTTAGTCACAGTGTGCCACTGAAGTGTGTGGCTTAGGGCAGATGTGTAGGGTGTGGCATTTTATCCTGTCCCTGTGAACCCGTGTGTGCTGTCCAGAACTTTCCTCTGATTCATGAAGACAGAGTCAGTGAGCCGCTCCCATTCACAGGGATTCCAGCTCTACACTGAGCACCCCTCACAGGCCCTACTGCACCCTGAGAACCCCCTCACAGGCTCCACTGCACCCCAAGCACCCCCTCATGGGTCCCATTGTACCCCTAGCACCCCATCATGGGCCCCACTGCACCCTGAGCTTTTCATCATGGGCCCCACTGCACCCCCTCACAGGCCCCACTGCACCCCTCATGGGCCCCATTGCACCCCCTCACAGGCCCCACTGCACCCCCTCACGGGCCCCACTGAACCTCAAGCTCCTCCTCACAGGCCCCACTGCACCCTGAGTACCCCTCCAGCTGGGAGTGAGCGCCTGATGCCTTCCACCTCCCTCCCTAGTCTTCACACTCACAGTTTAGTGTCCAGGCACGGGAAGGTGGCAGTGCACAGGTTGGCAGAGGGCTGTGTGGAGCCCCAGCTAATTCTGCTTCTCTCACCACACCCACCCCACCCCACCCCAGCTTTTGAAGTTCAAGTCTTGTAAAGTTGAATATGAAGGCTGCCTTAACCAAGTGGATTTTCTCGCAGGAGCGTTTGCTTTAGGGGCTTTAGCGATCGTAAAGTAGATCTGGATCCCGGGTGTCCTGGTTAAATAAATTAGGGCGCATTGTGCAGCTGCTGAAAAGGGAAGCACAGCTCTAGGACAGTCACACAGACCCATCTCTGACACATTAGCTTAAAAAGTGCCCTGTGCTGGAGAGGAAACAGCTTGTACCATCTGTGCAAATAAAGGAGCGTGTGTGCGTGAGTGTGTGTGCGTGCCTGAAGCTCTCTCTCTACAAAGCGGCCCAGGTGGTGGCAATGGCTGTCAGTAGGCAGCAGAACACAGGTCTTGAGGGCTGTGTGTGCTTCCAAGGACTGTCACCCTGTGGGTGGAGTGCTTGTTTCTTATGGGAGAGGCCCTGCATTTGATCCCCGAGACCACAGATATAAACCAAGGCATAGTGGTGCATGTTTGTAACCTCAGCATCCAGGAAGATCCGAAGTTCAAGGGCATCCACAATTACGTTTGAGGGCTCGAATATGTAGACCCTATCTCAAAAATAAAATTTTAAAAATTAAATTTAAAAAGCCAGAGAAATGCAAACTATAGAGGCTCATGCAGCCAGATGACCTGAGATTCATCCCTGAAGGCTACATGGTAAAGAGAGAAACTGACTGTTGCAAGCTGTGCATACATGAACATGCATGTTTGTTCATGACATGTTTGAACATGACACACGCACATGCACACACACACACTAAACAAACAGATAAATAAATATTTCAAAAGTAATAAATAATCAGAAGGCAGAAACAAGTGGATCTCTGTGAGTTTGAGGCCAGCCTGGTCTACAGAGTGAGTTCCAGATCAGCCAGCGTTATGTGAAGAGACCCTATCTCAAAATTAAACTAAATTAAAGGCCTTATATAAAAATAAAGGCCACACGGGTAGAGGAAGTGAGTCTTGAGCAGAAACCCACGTCTGTGATTCACAGATTCACAAAGCATCTTGCTTGGGTCTGCAGGCCTGCGGCTGGTGGCGCCCAATGAGAGCTTCATCTTCGACAATGTCACCATCTCCCTATTGTGGCTCCTTTCTCCCTACACTGGAAACCTGTCCTGTGTGCTCAGCATGGGAGACGGCCACACGTTTGACCCCTACTACCCTCCCAGGTAAGAGTGACCTCTGATCCTTAGTGAAGGTTATATTGATCATACATGCTAAGTTAGTGTTCTACCACTGAATTGAAGCCTCCTAGACGGGCTTAGCTGCCTATTTGTCTAAGAGGTAGAGACTTTAAAACTGAATCCCATTCCTACCGTGGGCTGAGGATAGAATCCTGCCTCATGGAGAGCCAGCCTAATAAACCAGAGGCTTCACTTTTGGAAGCACCCATTTGATGTGCTCGTTCACACGCACGGCAGGCTGTTTTCTTTCTCTGTCCTGGAAAAACTCCTCATATCTGAGACTGTATTATGGGTCTTACGGGACAATTTATATAAGGCCAACTTTGTCCAAGTCCAGAACTGGGTAACCGTGTGCCCCCTACTGGTGCAACTGGGCATTGTCTGTTTTTCTGTCCCCACTGGGAGATGCCTCTATATCTGGGGTGTCTTGGGGTAACAATTGTGCTGAGAAGATACTAATACACAAGGTATCAAGAGCCTTGGGGAGGAGTAGATGCACACACAGAGCACTGTGAGGCATTGGGGAAGGTGATGCTGGGGCGTGCTCCAAAGCTACAGTCTTTTGGGTTCGGGTGCAGAAGCAGAGGACCTAAAGCAATGTTCCCCAACCTCCCTGGTACTGTGACCCTTTAATACAGTTCCTCATGCTGTGCTGACCCCAACCATACAATTATTTTCATTGCTACTTCACAACTGTAATTTTGCTACTGTTGTAAACTGTAGTGTAAGTATCTGTGTTTTCCAATGGTCTTAGGAGAACCCCATGACAGGTTTGTTTGACCCCAAAGGGGTCTTGATCCACAGGGTGAGAAACTCTGCTCTAGGTAAAAGGGACTGGGCTGGGCCTAAGGGAGCAGATCATACCCTATAAGCCGCTCGTTCTCTCTGGTGCTCAGGGGTATGAGGGAAGATGAGAGATCCTGGAAAGCCCCACAGTGTGCTGCTCAGGAACAGCTGGTAAAACTTTCCCATCCAGGAGACTGTTCCTAGGAGATAGTGGGTAAAAAGGACTTATAGGGACTGGAGGAACAGCAAAGCCAGTAAAGATCTTGCAATGCAAGCATGAAGACCTGAGTTTGATCCCTAGCACCCACAAAAAATGCCAGGCATGATGCATGCTCTCGAAATCCCAGGACCGGGAGGCCGAGACAAGAGGATCCCTGAAGCTCACTGGACTCATGAAGAACACCACCCAAGGTTGACCTCTGACTTCCACACACTTGCACACATGACACACACAGGTGCACACACATGCAAATAAACAATAAAATAAGTAATGGTTTTCAAAGGACCGGCAGCTGACATTTTCCAAGACTTACCAATGCTGCTTCTATTTCTGAGGTGCTGCTGAGGTGTCACAGTGTGACCACAGAGCAGGGTGCGGTATGTGACATCTTTTTCTTTCAACTGAGACTGGCCTCAAAATCACTATGTGTCAGAGGATGGTCTTGAACTTCTAACCTTCTGCCTCCCCGTGCTGAGTGCTGGACCACAAGTGTGCATCATCACGCCCCGCTGATAATGGAGTGCTGGAGATCAAACCCAGAGCTTCACATACACGCTAGACGAGCCCTCTCCCCACCGAGCGACACTCCCGGCTCCCCCAACTTGTCTTTGCAAATTGGAGTTGTAAATGCATGCGTGACTGCTGAAGCTTGTACTCTCCTTGCCCTTCACAGTGTGGTCAGTCATGTGACTCATCAGTTCACCGCTCCTGGGGAGGTCACTGTGTTCGCTGAGTGTACAACCAGTGACTGGCACGTGACCGCTCAGAAACAAGTGGTGTTGCGAGACAGGATGGAGATACCTCACGTCACCGGGTGCACCGGCCTCTCCGGATCTGGAGCCAGCCTTCTCTGTCAGGCTGTCTTCGGGGACCCTCTGTGGATTCAGGTGGATCTGGACGCAGGTGAGTCTGCAGGATGGAAAAGGTTGAAGCAAATGGGAGAAGCAGTCTCCTCTGAATCTATCTAGCAAACTTGAGGCTTCAGTGCCTTAGCTACCATCTATCTGTTCATTTACTTAATACCCATGGTGTCTTCATTGCTCTAAGTGCTTGACCTATAATGTCCCATGCTATTGACCAATAATAGACTCCATGTTAATTTGCTGTAAGTCAGAGGTTAATGAGCCATTGAGAACCCCCACCTTCTCAAGGCTTCTTTCTGCATGCCCACAATCCCATCCGAGAAACGGGACCTCCATACCACTTCCCACTGGGGGAGTTTCAACAGGAAGAAATGAGACTGGGAGGGCTGCCAGCTGGGCTCAAGCCCATCTCACACAGCCAATGGCAGCAACGAGTGTGTCACCGTCCTGTGGTCGTGAGCCTGGCAATAGTCAGCTATACACATTGATAGAAGCCGGTCGACAGTTCTGGCTAGGGTCTGCGCAGATGGGACACAGTGTCTTCTAATTACTCCAGAGGCCGTTTTGATTGGTTACAACATCTACTTTGGTCAGCCGAAGTTTCCACCTTGATTGGTCACAGCATCCGTTCTAATTATTACAGAAATCACTCTCCTTTGCTACAGTTTCCACTGTTTCTCGGGACACCCGTCCTAGCTGGCTGGTGCTGGGAGGGTTTCCATTGCTATTTTAAGTAGCCAGCTCTTCTGCCTTATTCACAACAACATTTTCCCTCAAGCACAGTCCAGTTAGAGAGCTGAACTCAGCCCTGTTGACCTAAATTATGCAACAATGATCTAGGATGATGGTGATGATGATGAGGGAAATGTTGAGGGTGGTGATGATGATGGTGGTGATGATGAAGATGGTGATGATATGGTGATGGTGATGATGGTAGTAAGGGTGATGATGATAATGGTGATGACCATCAAATGAGGAAGGATCTGACTCAGTATGACCTCCTTCACTTGGACAGAGACTTAATGGGACTGTGGCAAGCTCTGACACAGCACTCGCGAGATTCATTTCTGCCCTTGTGTGCCTATTGCCTTATGAAGGCTGGTATGTGCATCTGGGGTAAATTAAAATAGTCTTTCATTGATTTATTTAGACATCCTACAAATATAATTGTGTCAGCTCTTTTGCCCGGTGTGGGGGAAGCAGGAATACAAATGAAAAAGAGCCTGCCCCTACAGGGCTTTATAGTTCATCACCACCACTCTCAGCACCACGGCTTTCGTTAGGGTTTCTATAGCATTTAGTTGGGGGCTGACTTACAGTTTTAGAGGTTCAGTCCATTGTCGTCATGGCAGGGAGCACGACAGCATGCAGACAGACACAGTACTGGAGTAGTAGCTGAGAGTCCTACATCTTGCAGGCAAGAGAAAACTGACTGAGACACTGGGCATTATCCTGAACATAGGAAACCCCAAAGCCCACGCCTGTATGGATGTACTTCCTCCAACAAGGCCATACTCACTCCAGCAAAGCCACACTTCCTAATAGTGCCACTCCCTATGAACTTATGGGGGCCAATTACATTTAAACTACCACAACCACTGACACCAAACGATTACTGCCACCATTACCACCACCAATACCTCCTCTTCCTTTTCCTCCTCCTTTTCCTTCCCCACTGTTTTTCATCCCCATCCAAATAAGGAAGGCGTTTGGCTTGACTTCTGCTGAAAAGGATACCATGTGGTTGCATGCATCATCACAATTTCAGCCAACTGCAGCCTTTGGCCTCTAACTAGGACAGTCATCTGCAGACTGCTGGGGAGGACCCCACTTGGTGGAGAACAGGTTGAGATGCATAGTGACCGGTCCCAGGAGGTCATCGGTAGATGTTGAAGGAAACGCGTCCACCTGCTTTGGCTGACAATGAGACTTGAGGTTCATTCTTATGAACAAGATCCCCATGTCTGCCCAGAGATGTCTCTTTGTCAGCTTCCCACCCCAAGAGTGTCCCTATCATCTAACTTCTATGTTCAAGGGTATAAATAAATAAATAAATAAATAAATAAATAAATAACAATGGGTCTGGGCCTGCCGCTCAGTTGGTAGAGTACTTGACATCCAAGAAACCCTGGGTTTGATGCCCAGCACCATATAAACTGGGCATGGTGGTACTGCCTGTGATCCTAATGTTTGAGAGGTTCAAATAGGAAAGTCAAGAATTCAAGGCCAGCCTCTGCTACATGGTGAGGTCAAGGCCAGCCTGGACTAAATTAGACCCTGTCTCCAAAACAAACAAAGTAAAAATGAGCAGAGTTGGGTGATGGTGGTGCACACCTTGAAGCCCTGCATTTGGGAGGCTAAGGCCAGTGGAACTCTGAGTTCCAGGCCAGGCTGGTCTGCAGAGGGAGTTCCAGGACAGCCAGGGCTAGTCAGAGAAACCCTGTCTTGAAAAAACAAAAAGAAAAGAAAACAATAAAAAATTAGGGAAACTTCAGAGAAACCCTGTCTCGAAAATCAAAAAAAAAAAAAAAAAATAGGGAAGACCCAGAAAGTTTAAAAAAAATTAAAAATCACTTAAGTCAGTACTGAGAAATAATTACAGTCAGCATTTAGGGAGTGTGGTCCACCCTTAGATCTTTCTTTGGACTCATATCTCCATGTCTGCCCCAGAATCTGACATCAGAGATCAGTCTGAACTCTCTTAGAATGCTAGCTGCATAGTTGGTAACAGGCTTCCTGAATTTCCCTTACCCCGCCTAGGAGCCGGGGTGACTTACGCTGTGCTTTCGGGTAATATAACTCTGGCTGAGTTCACCACCCAGAGGGGCTTGAGACCTTACAGTCTGACTCTGGACAGAGACACCCAGGAGCTGCTGGGCCCTGGGAGGCACCATCTGAACATCCAAGCTGTGACCAACAGCACCGCCTCTGCCCCTTCTGGAAGCATCACTGTTCACTTGGTGGAGCTCCTGTCGGGGCTGCAGGCCTCCTGGGCTTCCGACCACGTGGAGCTTGGGTACGACCTGGTGGTCAATGTCTCAGTGGCTCGTGGTACCCTGGAGGAGGTGACCATTGAGGTGGCAGGACTCAACGCAAAGTTCTTGCAGAAGGAAGAGAGTGGTGGGCAGTCATCCGGGACCTACCACGTGGCGATTCCTGTTGAAGGTACTGGGGTTGGTAGCTCCCCCTTCCAGGCCCCCATATATATATATCTGATTTGGTTCCATCAATTTTTCAGTCCTGGGTACAATGACGGCTTACCTGGTGACCCTACCTGAGACCCTCCTCAGTAAGGGAACACATTCTGTCCACCACCCGAAGATTTCCTAGCTGTCTGCAGGGGCTCTCAGTTTGGACACTTCTCATGGTTTTCTTTAAATTCATAGAGAATTTCATATATGGATATATTTGTATAATACTCGTCCATCATTTCCCTTTTAGTCCCCGCCCAGTGCCAGTCCTTGTCACAGGGTGACATTCTCTACCTACATGTATATTGAGTATCCCCAAAGCCTTGCCCCAGGACTGATTTATTGTAGGATTCTTCAGCGCATAAGAGGCCATGAGATCCCAGGGTTGCCCTCAGTCAACCAGACAGGAACACCGAGAGAGAGCTGTCTCCACTTGTGTCACAGAATTGTGACAACATCAGTGACTCTTTTCCCCTTTGCATTGCAGGCACCTTTCTGGTCACTGTGCGTGTGCGGAACGTGGTCTCAGACTTGAGCACGGACATGGGGAACGTCACCATCACAGGCAAGGCGTTTGTACTCTCAGGGGTCCAGGGCCCTGAACCTGCCAGAGCCAGACAGGGCTCTGAACGCAGGGTCCATTCCACAGTCTCAGAACCCTCCGGGTGCTCTAGCGACACAGTCACAGAAAGTACCAGAAAAGCTCTGTGCTAAACGGGACTCCTCGGACGGCACGATATGGTGCTCAGCTGTAACGTTCACATGATCTCAGGCATTCTAACAGAGGGACATCCGAACATGAGGCCTTTGTCACCTCTCCTGTGATGGCCTGAGGGCGTGGCTCAGTAGTAGAGTTCTTGCTTAGCACACAGAAGTCCTGAATGCCACTCCCAGTGCTGCAAAACAACAAAAACATACCAGAAGAGGGCTGTGGAGGGGGCGCAGTGGGCAAGCTGGATGTGCAGGTGTGAGCACCTAAGGTCAGAACCCCAGCACTCAGGCCAAAGTCGGATGAGGCCGCTGCAAACCTGCTACCACGCACTAACTAAGCCTTGTCACCTGTGGGTCTATCACCTGCATGGGGGTCTCCAATTTCCTAGAACCATTTACAAAGACACCTTAGGGCACATTCAGCTTCCTTTGTTTTTTCAGAGTTTTGTTTTGTTTTGTTCTGTTTTTGAGAGGAGTCTTACTGTGTTGTCTAGACTTGCCCCCTCCTCGACCCCAAGCTGGGACCTTATATGCCACAACCCTTGCATGACTCTGCCTTGACAACTTCTAACAATATTTTCTACTAAAGCTTAATGCTTGTTCTTGTTATGTTCACAGCCCCTTCCAGTCTCCGAGAACCACCTGGAATGAATGCTGAAGCAAAGAATGTGAGTATCTTTGAAACATTTAAGCTCACAAGAAAAGACATCCAAGCACTTTGCTTTAACTTTGGGGTTTGGAAAGTTTCTCTCCTACCTGGTCCCACAACCATTCAGTTCCAAAGAAATACATAGAGGCTTATAATAATTATAAACTGTATGGCCAATTAGCTCAAGCTTA